CACTCCATGCATTTATATGGTTTCTCCCCTGTGTGGATTCTTTTATGGGAAGTAAGTTTATTCTTTTGGGTAAAAGTCTTTCCACACTCCATGCATTCATATGGTTTCTCCCCTGTGTGGATTCTTTTATGGGAAGTAAGTTTATTCTTCTGTACGAAAGCTCTTTCCACACTCCATGCATTTATATGGTTTCTCCCCTGTGTGGATTCTTGTATGGGAAGTAAGTACACTGTTTTGAGTAAAAGTCTTTCCACATTCCATGCATTTATATGGTTTGTCCCGTGTGGATCCTGTTATGAAAATTAAGACGCCTACTAGTACGAAAGCTCTTTCCACACTCCATGCATTTATATGGTTTCTCCCCTGTGTGGATTCTTTTATGGGAAGTAAGTACACTGTTTTGAGTAAAAGTCTTTCCACATTCCATGCATTTATATGGTTTCTCCCCTGTGTGGATCCGTTTATGGTAAGTAAGGGAATAACGATGAGTGAAGCCCTTTCCACACTCCATGCATGTATATGGTTTCTCCCCTGTGTGGATCCATTTATGGGAGGTAAGTTGACTCTTCTGAGTAAAGCTCTTTCCACACTCCATGCATTTATATGGTTTCTCCCCTGTGTGGATTCTTTTATGGGAAGTAAGTACACTCTTTTGAGTAAAAGTCTTTCCACACTCCATGCATTTATACGGTTTCTCCCCTGTGTGGCTCCATTTATGGGAAATCAGATGACCCTTCTGAGTAAAGCTCTTTCCGCACTCCATGCATTTATACGGTTTCTCCCCTGTGTGGCTCCATTTATGGGAAATCAGATGACCCTTCTGAGTAAAGCTCTTTCCGCACTCCATGCATTTATACGGTTTCTCCCCTGTGTGGCTCCATTTATGGGAAATCAGATGACCCTTCTGAGTAAAGCTCTTTCCACACTCCATGCATTTATACGGTTTCTCCCCTGTGTGGATTCTTTTATGGGAAGTAAGTATGCTCCTAGCACGAAAGCTCGTTGCACACTCCAAGCATTTATATGGCTTCTCCCCTGTGTGGATTCTTTTATGGGAAGTAAGTTTACTCTTTTGGGTAAAAGTCTTTCCACACTCCATGCACTCATATGGTTTCTCCACTGCGTGGATCGCTTTATGGGAATTCAGTTGACTCTTCTGAATAAAGCTCTTTCCACACTCAGTGCATTTATATGGCTTCTCCCCTGTGTGCATCCTATTATGGTAAGTAAGATAACTGCTAGTAGTAAAATTCTTTCCACACTTCATGCATTTATATGGCTTCTCCCCTGTGTGGATCCATTTATGGGAGGTAAGTTGACTGCTATTACTAAACTTCTTTCCACACTCCCTGCATTTATATGGTTTCTCTCCTGTGTGGATCCTGTTATGGGAATTCAGATAAACCTTCTGAGTAAAGCTCTTTCCACACTCAGTGCATTTATATGGTTTCTCCCCTGTGTGGACCCTTTTATGGGAAGTAAGATCACCCCTAGAAGTAAAACTCTTTCCACACTCCAGGCATTTATATGGCTTCTCCCCTGTGTGGATCCATTTATGGGAGGTAAGTTGATTGCTATGAGTAAAGTTCTTTCCACACTCCATACATTTATATGGTTTCTCTCCTGTGTGGATCCTGTTATGTGATTTCAGATGACCCTTCCGAGTAAAGCTCTTTCCACACTCAGTGCATTTATATGGCTTCTCCCCTGTGTGGATCCATTTATGGGAGGTAAGTTGATTGCTATGAGTAAAGTTCTTTCCACACTCCATACATTTATATGGTTTCTCTCCTGTGTGGATCCTGTTATGTGATTTCAGATGACCCTTCCGAGTAAAGCTCTTTCCACACTCAGTGCATTTATATGGCTTCTCCCCTGTGTGGATCCATTTATGGGAAGTAAGTTGACTGATATAAGTAAAGCTCTTTCCACACTCCAGGCATTTATATGGTTTCTCTCCTGTGTGCATATTTTTATGTCTGACAAGGGATATATTTTGAGGGAAGCTCTTTCCACACTCCATGCATTTATATGGCTTCTCCCCTGTGTGCATCCTATTATGGTAAGTAAGATAACTGCTAGTAGTAAAGTTCTTTCCACACTCCATGCATTTATATGGTTTCTCCCCTGTGTGGATCCTTTTATGGGAATTCAGATTAGACTTCTGAGCAAAGACCTTTCCACACTCCATGCACTTATATGGTTTTTCCCCTGTGTGGACCCTGTTATGGGAAGTAAGTTGTATCTTAGTATGAAAGCTCTTTCCACACTCCATGCACTCATATGGCTTCTCCTCTGTGTGGATCGTGTTATGAGACATAAGGAACCCATTTTCACAGGAAACGGTGAAAGTCCAATTGGGTTTTTTTCCATTGCCTCTGCAGATATAATCTTCTCCTTTGGTTTGAGTTGGAGAGTGTTCATTTCCCACTAATTTGCCTTTTAATAGTCTTATACTTTTTCCCATATACGTTTCCTTTATTTTTCCTTGTTGGTCAAGAAAGCCTCGCGTGTCATCATCCATGGAAGATGAGATTTCCTGATTCCAACTATTTGACTGGTTTCCCTCATGCCTTTCTAGTTGCATCTCCAGTTCCTTGTCCATTCCGCCTCCATTCCTGATCATTTTGAATTTTTCTCTGGGATCTTTATTCTCACAGCGATGACCACCTGCAAAGGAAACGAGAAATGAAAATTATAGCAAGGTTGTGGGAAAAGATCAAACTGTAGGATTTGCATGTTTGCATGGTTACAATGGCATGGTATAGAACTGATAATTTCTATCTTCATGAGCCACAAAAGCTTTGAAAATACCTAAAGTATCCACTTTATTTACAGTTATCCCTATATAGTCAACCTTTCCCAGAGACAGTGTTGAGTTCAGGAAGAATCAGGGGAAACATCCAAGGAGGCATTAGGAGAAAACCTAACATTTATTGCAGGGGGGTCAATAACAGGAACGACCAGTGAGAACTAAATCAATTTTGAAATTCGTCCTTTCCTTCCTACCCAAACTACCTTCCATTTGCTATTCATTTTTGAAAGGACAAAATCACATGGTTGCAGAGAAAAAAATTCTAGAGCTCTTCTCTTAACCCTAAACAGCACGTTTGCAATGGAAAAACAGCACCATTTTGCCCTTAACCCCAAGGCTCAGGATAGAGATCAAAAGGAAGACAAGTCATTAACCCAACAGCCTGAATAAATGAGACTCGTTCAGAGGACAGGGAAGCATCTGGGCCCAAAAAGCTATGATCAGCGTGATGGAGTTGAGCATCTCCTGAAGCAAAGGAAATAATTTTTTACTGATATCTTTAAAAAGAAATGGAAAAATTCCCCAGATCAGAAATGCATCTAAGCAGAGAGTCATTGACCTCCTTCCTTTCTTGGAGCAGGAGAAGGCCAGATCTTTTCCTTCTCCCTCCCAAGTGATGACATCTGGTTGGAGATTTTCTTAATAAGATATAGCTGATGGCATCTAACTACAAAATGTCTTCCCAAACTCTCTGATGGGAGAGAAGCAAACCCTTACCCAGAGAGACCACGTTGCGATAATTTTCCAGCATGACTTCCCAATGCAGCGCTTTTTGGTGAGGA